TATGCATTGTTATGCTAATATTTTATTACAGTTAAAATTAATTATTTTAGTAGAGAACCATATTTTTGCAAAAAAGCCTAATTTGGTTCTTATTTTGATAAGAAATTGTAATGTTACAAGTATTTTTCAAAATTTAAAAGTTAATGTTAGTATTTTTTATTTGGGTTATATTTTTATTTTTTCAAATACATTTTTTAAAACATTAATGTTAAATGATTATTTTCTATTTTTGCTTGATGTATATTTTAAATTCTTAAAATAATATTTAAAAAAAACATTATTAAAATGGACTAAATTCCTTAAATTATGAACCATATATAAGTTTTTGAGAGCTTAAAATTATTTGTTTGATTGCATACATTTAAAGGTATCATTTTTTAATTAATAATTAGGATAAATTCAAGGATGACTGTTGAAGAATTTAAATGGATATGGTGGATGGAATATGCACATAGAACTTGGGGTCGGTGTATTGGAGCAGCTTTCTTTATTCCAATGAGTGTATTATGGTTAACACGTAAACTGAGTCGTACATCTAAAATAAACTCTATGATTTGTTCTATATTATTAGCAGGGCAAGTAAGTTTCTAAGTAATTTTGTAGTATAATTTAAAATTACCATTATTATCATTGATGATTCAATTATTTTTAATTTATATTCAAAAATGTTTCAGGGACTTATGGGTTGGTACATGGTTAAATCTGGTTTAGAAAATAGATTTGACAAACCTACTGATGTTCCTAGAGTATCTCAGTATAGATTAGCTTCCCATCTTGGTTTAGCATTCATATTATATTCATTTCTACTAACTAACTCACTACGAATACTTTTACCAGTTAAAATTATGGGAACTGTTAGTAAAAAAATTTTTAGATTATCTATAGCTGCTACAGGAATCGTGTTTCTAACAGCTATGTCTGGTTTGTATATTATTTATTATTCTTATTTATTTATTTATCATTATTATTAGTATTACTATTTTTATTTTTTTATTAAGATGGACAGTTTGGCCGAGTCAGTAATGTTCAAATACTTGATGTACATTATAACAAATTCGAGACTCGGTCACATGTATTTTCACTTGCTGAACAATAGATTAATTCAGCAATTGGAATCACCATCCCTCTCTCCATTGATGGTCTAACCATTCATCATAGAACATATAAGGTTAAGAAAGCTCCTGTTTAGATAATGCTGCATTGGCCTTTAATGTACTATAAAAAGCCAAAAAAATTTTTTTTTCTTTCGATTTATTACAAATTTTGAATGATTAATATATGAATTATGATAATATCATAATACATATTATGTATTATTATTTATATACTTATAAAATTTTTTTACTTACAATTTTAGGAGCATTTGTGGCGGGTTTAGATGCTGGGTTGGTTTATAATTCATTTCCTAAAATGGGTGATAACTGGATTCCTGATGATATATTAAATTTGGACCCTATTATTAGCAATGTTACTGAAAATCCAACTACTGTTCAGTTCAATCACAGAATACTTGTAATTAAAAAATAGTTTGATAATTAGTATGTTTTCCATATTTTAAAAAATACTTTATAATTTTATTTTTATTAGGGTATGAGTACTGTATCAATTTTATCTGCATTATACATTATGTCACAGAAAAGTAAATTACCTCCTAGAGCCAAAACTGCTGTCACAACTTTAGCTATTTTTTCTTGGTGTCAAGTAAGCCTTAATTTTGCAAAAATTAATATTAAAAATGTAATTAAGCTTTTTTATAGCCATGTAAATAATTAATACAGTATCATTATTCAAGTAACATAAATATCTCACACTGATATAATATTTTAATGATATTTTCTTTAACTAAATGTTAGCTTCGATGCAAAGCTGAGAAGGTATTAATTTTACTATAATATATTTTTTTTTTCTATTGCCACTTTTTTCAACTCACTGGACCAATTTTGATGAACAATATGTCAATAGATCACAAATCATATTTAGTTGAAGACTTTACCCTTGAAAATTGAAAAAATTTCTGTCGCTCCACGTTAATGGGGAAAATTTCCAAAAAAAAAAATAAAATTTTTCAAATCTGTACATTTTTTCTTAAAATTACCATAACTTTTTCAAAAATTAACAAAACAACTTAATTTTTTTTATATTAAAACCTTAGATATTTCCCTTTCATTCGATATAATTTTTTTAAAAATCTAACACTTAACCTGCTCACAAGGGGGGATTTAAGATAGCAACTTTTTTATGAAAATTAACTTTTGAAATTGTTCCTGAAGTAATGCGTCCTAAAATATAAATATAAACAAATTTCAAATTAAAGCTCTGTCATATACTATAAAATGAAAAAAAAAGATACTATTTTTGTTTTAAAATTTTGATTTTCGATTTTATATGTTCAAGTTTAAATTGCTATAACTTTTAGAAAAATGTATGTATCAACACACATTTTTTTTTCTAAATACATTATATATACCTCTTTCATTTAATATACTTTTAATTTAAATTGGAAAATTTCCCTTTATACAGGGGGCGTTCAAAACTTGAAACATACATATAAGAAGTATCACTTTTTCATCTTAACTTTCGAAAATGTTTGGGAAATAATGCGTCCTTTAAACATATGTCAAATTCAACCTCATAATAAATACTTTAAGTTCAAAAAAAAAAAATTGTTCCAACACTTTTTCTTCTATAGGAAAATGGCTGTTGAATTTAATGAAAAATATAATTTTTATGTAGAAATCACTGTTTAACATGAAATATTTTAATACATAAAACTGCCATAACTTTTTAAAAAATGAACAAATTAAAATTATTTTTTTTTATATTGAAACCTTGGATATTTTTCTTTTATTTGATATAATTTTTTTGAAAATCTGGTGCTAAATCTGCCCTCAGGAGGAATTCAAAAAATCAATTTTTGCACACAAGTTAAGCTTTTTTAATGAAATTTTTGAAAATGTTCCTGAAATATTGACACTTTTATTTAATCTTAAATTAAAGCTTATATTATATACTTTACTATGAAAAAAAAAAAATTCAAAATATAGATTTTTTTCTTAGTGAAAATGGCTACTGTATTCCAAAATATGTCATTTTTTATGTTAAAATTCTGTTTTGTATTTTATTTTATTTTAAAATATCTTACAAGGGAAATACACTGACTTTCATGAATATTATACTATTTAATTGACATAGAATAATGTTCTTAAGACATAAGAAGTTAAACTTATTTAAATATTTTTGCTTTTTTATATAAATCATTAATCTAAAAATAAAATTATTTTTAGTTTCATCTCCATTTAACAATGGATTTTTACAATTATAATGAAATTTTATAATACACTCAATTGAGTAGATCTTTTTAATAATTTTTTTTCATTGGTTTTTTTAGTTAAAGTAAATCATTAAAATTAATTCAGTTCTGTATACTTCAATTGTAGAATCTTTTTAAACACCAAATGTTAATTAAAAATGATTACTATAATATCTATTTAAGTGATCTATTATGATAAAAATGCAAAAAAATTTGAGCTTTTCTGACAAATTTACCATAAATAGTAATTATAAAATTTGCTCACTCCATATTAATCTTAACAATACCATTTTTTACTATTTAATGATGTCAATTTCAAACTTGCAAGTTAAGCTAAAAGTTATGGCTGTGAATTTTTTTTTTTTTTTTTATCATAAACTTTCACAAAAAAAGTAGGTTAAAAATGATTACTTTTAACATATTAAAAATCAAAATCAGTAATAATTTGAATTATTAATTGAACAATTAATTATAAAAATTATATAATATATAATTATATAATATATAATTAAAAAAATGTATATTATATTTTTGAATCTAAGAATTACTAATCTGGATATAATAAAGGAAATAGAAGTTGATGTTGCTTTTGTAATTATCGATCAATTTCTTAGAATTAAACACTATAGATTTGCATTGAAGTGTTTCTTTTGATAGTGATTTTAATCACTATCAGATTAAATCTATATTGGACCCATCTATACCACAACCCCACTGTGCTGGATATTTTTTCTTTTAATTTAAAAATAATTAGAGGTTTTAGAAATATATCATGTCTTAAAAAATGTGTTATTTGGAAATCCTAGAAGTTTTAGTATTGATTAAAAATTCATCTTATAGTATAATTTATTTAAAAACTATACTATGCAAAATGATGTACTAATTATTGAACGATTTAAGCACTTTCCTAATAGTTTAATATACACATTGATTTTGTGTATAAATAAAGATTTAAAGGAAATGATTCTTTTTTAGTCTATAATGCTTATTTTTCATATGTATTTTGTGTTTTTTAAGTAATTTTTCTGTAATATATTTATACAACTTTTCAAGAGTTCATCTTTGTATTCTAAATTAATTAACTTTACAAAATAATAATATCAATGTAATAATGTTAATTTCAGATGGGGCTTGGACTTTTAACACTTTTAACATATGTTCCTACTTATCTTGCTGCAGCCCATCAATCGGGGTCACTTACATTACTTTCACTCTCTTTATGGTTAATTCACGAACTTAAAAAATTGCCGAGAGTAAAATGAGTGGAGTAGAAATATAAATTAATTTGTATAGTATTCATTAAAAGTATATTTATTATAATGAAACAATATTCAATTTATTAATTGTATTTTTTTAATTAATGTATATAGTTATTAAAATTATTGTTTTTAAAAAAAGTTTAGTAAATTATGATTCTAGACATTTGATACTATTTCAAAACTAGTTTTTTGAAATGTATATATTTAATTGTATAAAATGATAAAGTTGTAGTTTTAAGAAGTATTTAGTTTACTTCATTATGTAATACTGATATTCTATTTGTGTTTACTATTTAGTTGTCTAGTAACCATTTTAAAAATTAAAACAGTAAAAGTCAACAAATAGTATGATTTTTTTTTTAATTAATATTAATGGGATATTTTGTTTTGAAAATTAGATAAATATTTTATATACAATATATTGTATTTAAAAATTAACTCATCTAATGCCTAAGGTAAGATAAATAAGATGTATCCAAAAAGATATTGTTTTAAAAGTTTTAGAAATATTTTTAGAAAAAAGTTCCAAAAAACCATAAGATTAAAAAGAAGCTAAAAAAAGCAATGTCAAAAGAAGTAGAGAGTACAGTATTATCAACTCCACCACCACCATTTCCACTCACTCAAGGAGAGTTTATATTTATACATGTTGGCCAAGCAGGAATTCAAATTGGATCAGCATGCTGGGAATTATTTTGTTTAGAACATGGTATTAATCCTGATGGAACTGTACAAAAATTAACAACTAGTTCTACTTCTATATTTTCTTTATCTCAAATGGGAAAATATGTACCTAGAGCTTTGTTAGTAGACACTCAACCTTCAGTCATTGGTATATTATGTTTAATTAAAGTTAAATATTTATGTTTTTTAATATATTCTGAATGATTATTTGTTTAATATTATTTAGATGAGATTAGAACAGGTGCTTATAAAGATTTATTTCCAAGCCAAAATATTTTTACTGGTAAAGAAAATGCAGCTAGTAATTTTGCAAGTGGTCTATATGGAATTGGAAAAAGACTATCAAAATCTATATTAGATCAACTTAAAACATTAGCTGAAGACTGCAACTCATTGCAAGGAATTGCAATCTTCAGATCTATAGGTGGTGGTACAGGTTCTGGATTGGGTACATTGCTTATTGAATCGATTAAAGACTTATATTTAAATAAAACAGTTCTCGATTTTAATGTGTATCCCTCACCTCAAGTAAAAATTTTTTAAAATTATATTTATTAAGATCTTATTTTTCATATGTTTAATCTTTCAGTTATCATCAGTGATTGTTGAACCATACAATGCAATTCTAACTACACATCATGTTTTAGATTTGGTCAATTGTTCTATGATATTTGATAATAGTGCATTGTACAATATATGTTTTAAATTAGGAATTATAAAACCTACATATACTAATATTAACAGGATAATATCTCAGGTTTAAAATTTAATTTAAATATATAATTAAAAAAAACATTTGCTTCAGCCTATTATTTANTAAATATATAATTTAAAAAAACATTTGCTTCAGGCTATTATTTAAATTACTGAAAATTCTAGTTAAAAGTTAAAAAAGTTACTGTAAAACTTCTTTACAATCTCATTAATTTTAATTAAATTTTTAAAACAATACATATTTTTTTGTTTAAAACTTCAAGACTTAAAATAATTAAAAATATACATTTTTACAAGAATTTATTTACAAAAATACTCATAAATTTATTTTATAAATCCATTTTGTAGAATATTTTATTAAAATTACTACAATAATATCTCAAGTAAAAAATAAGTTCTAATCAGCCTTACATGTCAAATTTAGTTTAGAATAATTGCCATATTATCATGATACACAGGACCAAAAAATTTGATCCAATAAATTTTATTGTGTAATAAAATTTTCTTACTTACATGTTATCTTTTCTCTAAGACAAAATTTTTATAAATATACTAGTTATGTCCAATGTTATACACAGGTTAAAAATACCAAGTTATGAAAATCAGATACACATTTGAAACAGAGTAGTAAAAAAACACATACCATATGGGGCTAACAAACCATTTTGATATAGCTTATAAAAATAATAAGTAACATGAAAATATTGTTTTATAGGTTTCATCAGGTATAACATCATCTCTTCGTTTTGAGGGTTCTTTGACAAGTAATTTATCAGAATTACTGAGTAATCTTATTCAGTGGCCTAGACTACATTTCCCATTAATTACTCATGCTCCTATTATGACTAATATTAATAATTTATCAGCTAATTCACAACTTGCTCGTATGTGTTTCGATGTTAACAATCAAATGATTATTGCTGATCCTCAACAAGGAAAATATTTATCAATTTGCATGATGTTTAGAGGTGATTTAACACCTACTGNTATGATGTTTAGAGGTGATTTAACACCTACTGATGTCAATACAACAATTGCTTTTATTCAACGAGAACATACTATTCCTGTGACAAATATGAATTCTCCACCATTTAAAGTTAGTTATAGTAAAAAATAGTTTAAGATGTTAATTAATCCATTTAAAATACTCTCATAACTTCATGGTAATACTTATTTATTGAAAACATTTTTAGTTTGGTTTGTGCTATCGGCCTCCTATTACTGTGCCGAATAGTGACATAGTTTCTACTGCCAAAACAATAACTACATTGTGTAATAACACAGCAGTTAGGTATAGATGGGAAAATCTTTTAAAAAAATATGATACTTTAACAAAAAAAAGAGCCTTTATGCATCACTATGTAGGTGAAGGAATGGAAGAAGGAATTTTCACCTCAGCTAAACAGAACATAATAAAATTAATAGCAGATTATGAAGAAGTAGAAAAATAGTAAAAAATGATAAATAAATACAAACTATAAAAGTTTTACTGTTGATCTATTGTTACTTTGTTTTATGTATAAAATTATTCAACTTAAATTAAAAATCTAATAATAGAAAATAATAATTATTTTCTATTATTTAAATTATTTAAGACACGTTAAAACTTATTTACTTTATATATTATTTATATTTTTAGAATTATCAATAAAAAAATATTTTGTAGTTGAATGGATATAACCCATGTAGCAAATTTAGACATATTCAAGTACTTATCAATACTACATTTAATTGAGAAGAGCGGGTAAAATTAGCTTCTCATTCAATCGTTTTTAGTTCTTGATAAATTATTATATTATTGACTGCTTATAGTAATTAATTAATATTTCATAATGGTAACTTTATATTGTAGTGTAAAAATAAAATGTTTAAACACTAAATATCTTGTATAACTTAAATCAAAATCTGCATTTTTGTAAAGTGAAATTTAAGCTCACTAATTTGAGTTTCACAAACGTTAGCTTTATTTCTTAATTTCTTTTATTTTTATGACTAAACTTTTTTAAAACTAAGACATTTTTTGGCATTTTTATTAGTGGGATAAAAGATGTGTATATAGTTCAATCAGATTTTTTTAGCTTTGTAACATAGGAGGGAACCGATTTTATTTATTAATCTTTTATCTTCTACGTAGAAAATAGTTTAATTTAATATAATCTAAAATCCATTTGTCAAAATATTAATTTTGAAAAAGCTCGTTGAATACCTATTGTCAAATATTATCTATATTCATCTGTATGTCAGTCTTTTGTAATCTTTTAGTAATATATTGTTCTTAATAAAACCATTCACTCATTTTTATTGTTGATTTTATTTTATTTTTTTAATTTTACATAATCTACAGTTATTATTCACCAATAGCAATTTAAATATCTAAAAATTTATATATCCGATAAGTTTTTTGCAAACGTAAGTTATTTTAAAATAACAACAACCTATAATTTTAATTAATTAAGAATAAATAGTATTTAATTGACCAATATTATTGTGGATAGATGTTTTTTTATTTAATAATAAAAAAGCGAATATCATTAGTATGTCGAAATTTGCGTATCAATATTAGAGAACTTGTTTATCTAAAATTTCCGGTATATCTAAAAGTAACTAAAATATCTGATTTCACATTTGAAACTATAAGTTTTATTACAAACTAAAATAAAAAATGGGTGGAAGTTCAGTAATAACATGGTGTGCGATCCGATTTTGTTATAAAAATTCCGCAGAAAGGGAGTTTAGGTGAATAGTAAGCTCTAGATACGAACACTTTTTCAAAACATAAAATTTTAATAACGCAGTGGGGAAATCCGGAAATACAAGTAAAATAGTTGATGATGATGCCGTTACTTCAAAATTCCCTCTTCTACTAGAAATGTTTAACAAAACTAGATTGCATGATAAGGCTTCGTGTTCAGTTCATTTAATCTTAATTTGTGGTTTTATTTGTTATCTCCACCGGATAATATATAATGCACAGAGTTGTACTCTTTATTATAATAAAGAACAATGATTATTCCTTATCGTGTTTGATGTTATTTATTATTGTAATTTTAAATCAGCATTTGAAAATCCTTTAAAAAGCAATATTTGCTAATTCCCATTCCGGTGTTAAAAAAAAGAAATGTATTTACATACAAAGTTTGAAACATATTAGTTGTGTGTTCCAAAAAAAATTTTTTTTCAATGAGATCTTACAAAATAAATATTTTTTGAAAAGAGTAAATTTAGATTAAAGCAATTGAGTGGGAAGACACAAATACTCATCCCTCGAGTATTTTGGTTCTGGTAAAACGGCTGTTAACTTCTGCCAACAGCTAATGTAATGTTGACACGATGTCTTGTTGGGTTATAATTTATTTAAATATTTAACCGTTGTACTTGTCCGTTTACGTTATTATCACATAATAGACATCACTAATTGATAAAAAAATTATTTGATAACATATAGTATATGATATCAAATATTTAATATAATACAGTACACTACATAGTTATATTTTTAATTTTGAAATGTTACTTATATATATATTGTTCGGACAACGCTGTTAGTCGTCACCACACATGTTCGTGTGTTGCGTGCGTACCGCATATGCAGAGAGAAACAACTATTGTTTGCATACGACAAATGTATTTTAACTATTTTACTATTTAAAAAATTGCATTTTTAATAAAAATGTAGATAAGATTATACAATTAATTTTCTTCTTTTAATTCATTTTAGTAAGGTGTACGATCGTCCCGTCGTCCAAGCCACGAGCCGCCACTGCTACAAAATATAACATACATAGTATAAAAATTGTAAAAAATTTCAAAAAGAGTAAGTCAATGGGGAGATCTATCAACTCCATTTGACTGCCATTATAATATGTTTATCAAAATATTATTTAACATTAAGTCTTTTAATAAAAATATGTATGTTGACTATACATAGTGTTAATAATTTTTAAACTGTTTAATGTTGTACATCATATACACCCTCCTATATAATAATAATGTTTTAAATGAATTACTTACTAAAAACTTATTGATTAATTTATATTTTATTTTTTGCTAGAGCCCTCAATTTTTTTCTCTACTTCTCCCTCACTAATAATCCGTGGGGGGAAGCTTCGACAAGGACTTGCTGAGGAGCAATAATATTAAAATATAACCCATCGTAAAAATATCCTAGATACACCACTGTTGTATTATATTATATACTGTATATTATTTATAGTTGTATTATGTCTATAAATAGTTATAATCTATTATATTCTGATATTCAATGAGTACATTTTAAAAATTTCTTGTTTTCATTTAAAATGCAAAGTTAAATTGAAAATGTATCAACAATTTGTGTGATCAAAAATAGATATAATTGATGCTTCAAATATTTTTGACAGTTCAATAAGCAAGAAAAAGCATTCATTATTAATAAAAAAATTGAGCATTAAAGTTTAGGGTAGTACTTTTAAATTAAGTTAGAAAATAAGTTCCACGATATTTATTGACTATATGACAATACATTGAATTTAAAGTCGCAACTCATAAAGTTCATGATTTGTTATCGACACTAAAAACTGTTGCTCGCAACTCTTTATCATTTTAAATGGTATTAAATAAAGTTACAGCTCTGATATTGTCTCGTATTTGTACAAAATGTTATTACAAGACAGTTTCTACAAACGAGTTGATGTATTATTTATTAAATCTAAATATTTGATAAGAGTAAAATGATAAAAATGTAAATATTTGATAGAATAGTTATCAATAGCAAAGTGCTTAAAATTTGTTTGATAAAATTTCATAAATTTGTTTTTAAAACATTTAATAAATTTGTTTTTAAAACATTTAATATTTTGAATTGTTCTCTATTAGTGGTTAAATCTTGGGACGGACACAATCTTATAGATGACGTATATTAATTTATTTAATAGTTGATGGAGCCTGTAATTATTCATTCATTTTAATTTGACAATCGAAATAAATATAAGGTAAGGTTTATAACACTATTTTTGAATAATAGATTTACACTAGTGTTATAGTAAACTCTAAATATTAATAAAATTAATATTAATGCGTAATAACAGGTTATTTATTATCGTTTACATGACAAGTACATAACACCTTTTAATTTTAGACCGCTATTAATCTTTATTCAAAGATGAACCATTAGTTGTTTTGGAGTGTAATTCAAACTACCTTACGTACAGTGGCGTTCTCAGGGTTTCGTCTTAGGGGAGATATACCCCATATCCCCACAGTGAGAACGCTCATGCTCCCCTCCCCAACTTAACCTAGGTTAGAGTTCTTTTTCATGAGTTTAATTAAAATAAATATTTTTATTCGTACTTAAAAAAGTAATACTTATTAATATATATGTACAAGTTCAATATAATTTATAAATCGATAAAATATATTGTTTTAACTTAATAATTTTTGACACATAATTTAGCTTATCATTACTGAACTTCAATTAGATTTTAAGTCAACAAAAGGAAAATGTAACAAGTATGCCATTTAATAGTTTCGAATTCCCATGTGAACACAATGTACTCATACGTTATCGTTTACTGAGTGGAGATACACTTATAGTTGGTCTCCATGTGTTTAACTATGAGAATATTTTTTTCATGTTTAATGTTCTACTATCTTTCGGTTACTTTATGCATATATAAGAAGAGCATCGACTATTTTAAAATTAAAAGGGTATTATTGTTTAAAGTAATTCATTTTTGGAGTTAATAAGATATTTTAAAGAAGATTAGTGTTGTCAAAAAATAATTATGATTTTAAAGTTAAATTAGCTTTAAGATTATTCTAAATACTCTTACTATAGAATACAGTTTTACAAAAAGCAAACATATATTTATGTTGTTCATTTTTAAATTATTACGAGCTTAATTAATCTCTTAATCTCTTGGAAATTTCGAGAAAGATTTAATAATTAGATACTAGAAAACCGGGATTTATATAGATAAATTGAGAAATCTTTAAAGTTTTGGTTGGTTTTTTTCTGGATATATAAGTTACTTAAGTTAAAATAGTAATCGCTTAGAGATTACTATTTTACTAACTAGAGATTAATTAAAATAATTACTTGTTTTAATTGAGATATTAAATTTATATTAACTTAAATTATCTATACAGCATAATTAATGTACGAATCTGAAATAGAAAAACTTTTTAGGGTAACTAAATTACTTACTCATGTCGTTATTAATAGGACTATTATTTTCAGTGTTAGCGAAAATTATAATCAATAGTTTGCTAGTTTTTTAATCACATAGAAATAAAAATGTTATTAT